ATCTTAATAATTTATGTATCTTATAGTTCGAAACTTGTGAAGCAGTCATTTGACCGTTTTGGTAGTTTTAGAAATAATATCTCAAACACTTGGGTGAATATTAATTTGAATTACTATATGCAGTATACAGTAATGCTAATTTAAGGATTCATTAGTTACCCACCGAAAAGTATAAGAAATGTCTAATCAACACAAATTCTTAAGACATGTAGATGTAAAGTCAACATCGATTATTTACAAGCATTCGACAACGTAAATGAGTTTCTTCGCATTGAATGTATACTCAATGGAAGCGAAATAGCGTTATCGCGGATTCGGTGCGGAGCTTGCTTTGGATTGTGCATGTGGTTTCAGCATGATGGAACTCCACCACATTATTCAATTAACGTGAGGCAACATTTAAATCAAACCTTCGAGAAGTGAACACAGTGAAGAGGTTCGGTAGAGTGACCTGATAGACCTCGCCTAAATTCTTTACATTCCCTTATGTAAATAAACTTTGGTTACTTCTAGAGACTTCACTTTTTATTTTATTACTCATTCATTATTTGTAGTACGCTGAATTTGGTTAATAAATTTTGCTTCGATATTTTATCTTTCTTGTCTACAGTTTCTTTTTTATTCTTATTCTACGCATTCGAGAGTAGCGATAATCAAACTATATTTGAATTTCAGACAAATATTAAACCAAGGTCATAAAATATGGTTTGATAAATTCCATAATTGACATTCATAAATTATTCCGACAGTAATAGACATTGATTTGACACGATATTCTATAACCACAGATTCGCACATGCAAAATAATATTCCCGTGATCTCACATATAAACAAAGAGTAAAATAAATTTATCTTTAAAACTCTCTAATTATCCTTCACCTGTGTTTTATCAAAAAAATGTAAACATTCAGTGTTCAGTCATAGCAGTATTTTTTGATCTGAATTCTTAATTTCTTTTGTAACAAAGGTACATTGAATTTCTTTTGCAACAACATTCGCCATATCCTCAACCATTTTTCAAAGGACTTTTAACCCGTACGTAATAATTCGCGTGCTTCCTTTTAGAACGCGACTCATTCAAAGAATTTTCCTTCCGTTAAAATAAAGGCAATTAACGTTTCACACTGAGAAAGGTAGTGTCATTTTTAAAGAGACGGGGTTCGTTCTTTGAAGGGACGTAATTGTTTCTGACGAACCGGTGTCTGTAGAAAGCCACCTTTCGGAGGGTAATGGATCTTCACGATTTTCATGATATTCCATCTCTTTATAATTGAAAACCATTACTTAAAACCATTCGCTGATATTTTCAAACGTGGCCGAGCCTCTCTTACAGTAGGTAGGTATTACTAAAAGTACCTTGCGAGCAAAAAGGAATCTAGAGCATAGACATCCAGGAAGGTTGTTTAACCCATTGACCCCGTTAAACGCTCACGAAAAAGTTAAGTGAATTTCTCTCTGTTTCATCCACCCTTTACCCTTCGACGTCCTAACTCTGACTATAACCCGTTTCAAGAACCCCCTTCGTCCAGTAGGGAAGTAGTTAATTAATTAATTAGCAACATTACAAGGAAAGATAAAAACGGGTCCTCGTCTGAAGGAGACGGTCAATTTTGTTCTACCTATACAATGTAATTTCACTCGAACGAATTAACGGAAGATCTGCCAATGGAGATGTATCTAGATAGTAATTTCGTATCCGCCAATTAGGGGATGAGAGAAGAAGGGTAAGAATGACGTCACGATGGAATCCGATAAGATTTGAGTGCTTGCCGTCTCGAGAACACAGCTTGTCGATCTGCCTAATTCGAATCGACTGATCTCGCCAATCCGGGGTTTACAGAGATCTATAAATTGCGGATCTTGTAATATCGTTGTCGATGATGGTTCAAATTCACCATTAACCCTGAGTACTTCAATCTAACCTTCGTTCTGTTTGACTAGAATTATTTTAAGATGCTTATTCATGTAATGAGTTATATTAGTCTATCGCGGAATAGTTCCGAATCGATCTTCGTTTCAATAATCAAATATTCGGGGTCCATAAAAGTCTCCACGTTGTTGCATAATGGTTGTATCTAATGTAATACCTGTCTTACAGGTTTCCATTTATTCTTTCTACTCTGAAGATCAGTAAGGTCGACATTAATTAATTCAATTTTTTTGGAAATTTCATATGTTCTTCCTGTGTTGCACATTTTTAAAATTTAAAAAATTTAAAAATCAAAAAAACTATCAACTTTGATAAAATTTATATTCACATTGAAATTTGATACATTTTTCGAATAGAAATATTCTATTAAAAATGATTTTTATTTTTGCTTATTGTATTTTCTAAAAATTGTATATGAAAGTAACCTTTTTATTTTTAGTTACTGATATACCTAAAAATAAATAAAAATAACAGCCTTAATAAATCACTAATAACAAAAGCAATAACTAACACAGAGCAACGATAGTAAATTGAAACTTGAAAATTCTTATTCTTAATAATTAAAGTTTTAATATGTCTTACAACAAATGTCCATTACCTCTGGTGCAGTGAACACGTTGAAAGATAAATGATACTTCTACTGCAAGTGGAGTAGGAGAGATCGGAGTAAGATAGTGTTATTTTTTGTTTTGTTAGTGACGCAGGTCGATTCTCTTGGTACGTCATTTATGCATCTGAGTTGCTACCGTAATTTAGCTTGATAAAGTAGAGAGAAGCCGATACAATAAAAAGTTTTAACGAAGTCGCGATTTGACGCTGACTTATAAAAATGTAGCATCATAAATTAATGAATGAAAGTTTCTTTTTTGAACAATTAATTTTGCAATTTAAGAAATTTGCTGAAAGAATATTACACAATTTAAGAGGAATTTAGTGTACCAAGTTTTTCTAAAAATTTTAAACCTAAGTTTGAGATGAAAGAAATTAAGGAATTAAAGAATTTTATGACTTTTGTTTGTGAAGTTGGAATATGTTATGAACTACCATTATTAATAAATGATCGTCATATTGTATTTTCAAATTAAACTGGAAAATTTTTTATTTTGATTGACAAAAACTTTGCAAACTTTAACTAATGTATTTTTAAAAGAGTTGTCACTTATTGCAGCAGTCAATAATTATTTATACACAGACATAAATAATAATGAAAACAATCTATCGATCACCTGACCACTGTGATTATCAACATCCCAACAGAGAACTCGTAAACGAAAGTTCATTATCTGTTGTTCTACATTATTAGCATTATATTGCCATTTAAAGTGACTTACAGTAATTTAGATACCGGCTATCGTGGAGTATGTACACAGCAAAAGGAATACTGATAAATTTCCTGGCAACTTCTTCGCTAATTATTCCAGTCCTTCATGTTATCTCTCTATAATATTATTGCAGCACTAATAAAAACGTTCTGTTGAACAACCATCAATGAACTCCAATTTAATAATTTTCAAATTTATATTTGCAAGTTTTTATGTCACTTTTATATTTCTTAATTCTGTATTTGTTTAGAACTTTACTTTTTCATTTTTTTATTTGCAGATTACTATCTTTATTTTATTTAATTTTAATATCAACTTTTCAGTTCCCATTTGAATTTTGAAGCAGCCTTTAACTTCTCTAATTTCATAAACATATTTAATATTTTATTCATACCTCCACTTAAGAAATTTAATTTTAAAAAGAAGTTAAAATTTTTTATTTTGAAAATGTATGATATAAACTATTATTCAGTTATTTACAGCACAAAATTATTGTATACTATCAAAAATAAAGCTGTACAAGTCATTCTACTCAGAATATTGAAGTGTGTTTAATTGATATAATAAAGATACATAACACGCATCAATCAATATGGAGAGTTTTCAATTTGTTGTAAAACCGAACACTCCGAACGAAAATCTGATTGCATCACACGAGAGAGCAGACATTTTTACTACAACAAGTGTCAGGGAAAACTAGTGGTTCGCTTTTGCTCTCGATGCAGAAGCAAAATACGGTTGAACATCGATATTTTCCTGTTCTGGTTGCTCCAAAGGCGGGACAGGAAATTACGAACAGCCAATGTCACGCGCGCTTGCTCGTTTGTTTCTCTTTCATTCGAAGACCATACAATGACACTAAACCAGACCTAACAATAGATGTGCATATGTGTTGGACGTTTGTAAGCAGACGGCTCCAATCAGGAATTTATCTGGTAGGAATATATCACGGTTCTACTGCGGTTTGGTGAAACAAGACATATAATAATACTATTTTTTTTTCAATATTCTAAATCATATATGTATAGAATTATATATTAACCCTTAACAATAACATTTCATCAGAATATACTACACGACTTTTAAGATTTAACCTATCAAAAATGTTTCTTACAAGGAAGCTACTTATTATTTTAACTTGAAAAAATTATAAATAATCTTTGAAAGTTGTTTTAACATATTTCGTAGGTGATTTCAGTGAATTTAAACAAAAATCAGAAACGTAAAAAAATTGAAAGACGGGTCACATAAAAAAATTCAAAACTTTATCCGATTTTAATATAAAGAGCTAAAATTTCAGATAAGCACTCTTACAAATAAAATAACAGTTTGAGGAAAAAATAGTAAAAGTACCGATGTTTGAAAGAGGGAATTTATTCAGATTATCAGGATATAAAGCGATTAAAATTGAAGCAAAATAACCTAAATTACCTTCAATTTTATTGGGGGTCGTTTCGCACCGCAGTGTGACCATTAAGGGTTAATATATTTTCAAAAATTTTTAAGTATTTTAGACATCACTTTTTATTAGTTAAACAAATGTCTGTTTCCTTTAAACTAGTTTCAATGTTATCAAAGTAAAACACTTGAATGAAATCATCCATTTATTATCGAATTAAAAGTAATATAAGTATGATATTTTATAGAGTGAAAGAATTGATGATTAATAATGCAACTATATGGACAGGTTTAGAGCGATGAAAGTAGAAAACAAGAAGAAAATAAGCAATAAAAATTTGCTGACTCACTTTATACCCAGCTAAATCTTGAACCAGGCAAGACAAAATTGCTTCTCGTCCAACTGATGCGGTTACATTGGCAATCGGCTCCTTGAATTTCGGATCTAAAAGCAACAAAAGATGAATAATTAATATCTGACTGTACCATAATTTTTGTTTCAGAAGAGGTATAGTACTCTAGGTAATATTCATTTAAATATTAGATGTATTACGATAGGGTTGGAATATAACAAACTTCTTAAGTGATCGTATAATTTATTATTCATTTATACTTCCGTAATAAATTAAATTTTCTAAATTTACTGTCTGGACTAACAATCTCTATATTCAAATTACATTTTTAATAAATACAATAAATAATATAAATTTTTGTATTTTGTATTAAATGGTACAAAATAAAAAATATGAGTTCGTTTTTTTTTCTGGTAAAATACTATAATAATATAATATAAATAATAATGATTTTAATGCTATTTTAAACAATAACATGCATGTCGCGATTGCAAGGCAGTGATACGTAAATAAAATAACATTATTGAATAATTTAAGGGAGTGTACATTAATTTTTAATTCTGACAAGGGAAAATTTTTAAATTCACATGTTAATTAGGCACATAAATGAAATTTTTATTCGAGAAGGGATTATTTAATCATAACGGGTAAGCTTTATTGTAATACATAATAATGACCTTATTCAATTTAATATTTGCGCCACTGCGTTATTAAAATAATAATAATCGCAATTATTTAATTACGATTGTGTAATTAATGATGGCAACCAGTTCAATATGTGTTTACAAATTCGAATGAAATCGAATGCAAGATTCTGTTGATAGAGTTCAAATATCATTAATGCAATATTTGCAAAATATAAATAGTCTATTATTGTGCTATGCACACTATTATACAAATAGCGCAATAGATTGCTAACAATCTTGATTCGAAATAGAAAAGTAATGCTGAAAGATATAAGAGTATATTATAAAAATTATAAAAAGGATGTTGTTATATTTGCATACAATATAGATGAAATATACAATCAATTCAATCCAAACGTATTATACAGGTTGTCTCACAACTAGTGTAGGTCCCTGAAATGGAGGGTAGCTGACGCGGAAAACGCGGACCAATCAGAGCGCGAGGATTGCGCGTGCGCGGCGAGAGCGACACCCTCCAGCCTAATGGCTGCGGGGGCGTAATCCTCGCGCTCTGATTGGTCCGTGTTTTTCCTTAATAATTCAAAAATGAAGCTTCAAACCCCATTTTTGCAAAGGGAAATCTTATTCAGTATCACGTCAGCTATCCCCCATACAAATATTTACAGTTAATATATTTTGATCATTAATAATTTTCCACTTGTAAAACGTAGAACCACCAATATATTATTCTTCATTTTCAATGTGTTCTTCTATTGTTCGCAATTTACTATACAGTAAAAGTAATAGCACTAAAATAAAATATTTAGAAACACAGCAGAAGTAAATGAAAATACCAAGATTAATGCATGATTTATTCTTTCAAATAATTAAATAACAGATTTCCATTGTTACGCCGAATAAAAGAATTCAATTCAATTTATCCATCACTAATAAATTAAATTATTGAAGGAACAATTTGAATCAATTTAGCTGGATATGAGAAATGTAGAGTATGAAATGTGGAAGATTTACTGTCCCAATCTGTAACTAAACAGGAAAGATCAAAGATGCAAAAGGTTCATATAAGAGCTAACATACATAAATGTCTATTCCTGATTTAACGCTGGATTGTTACCAGAGAATATGAAATAGGACAGTCCGTCATGTTCTTCCGTCAATTAATCGTAATGCCTCCATCAGAATTTCATGAAAACACAAATATCAGTTGATGCATCTATAATCCAGTTAGAAAGTTTCCAAATTATATTTCATGATGGTTTTGATGTCGAGCTATTCTGAGCGGCGATTTGACGTCATTTCATTGAAATAAACGTTTCATTCTGGTAGTTATAATTACTTGCAATAATTTATTTACATGTACAATTTTATTGCATTTTTATTTATATAACCTCAAAGCTATATACGTACTAATCGTTAGATTGGTGCTTGAGTACGCTAAAATAATTTTTCATTTATGAATTACAGTAAGAATGCTCAAGTGAACTGTCTTTTACTACTTATTAAGTTGCAAATAGAAGTTTAATACTTTTATGAATTTCGATAAAACTATATGTTTTCACAGTTTATTTTATAAAATGTAACCTACGAAGCTATATTTAGAAATAAAAATTTTGCAAATATTTTTGTCCAACCAAACGTGTATATAAAACTTTCCGTTATTTTACGTATACAAAACATTTCGAACGATTGATTTTATATTCGTCCATAAAACTCCTCGTTTTTTTGCCACGTTGAATACCATAGTGAAGTCGACCATATACGATATATTCAGATTGCGATCATTTCAATGTCCAATTTAAGTTCCACTTGAGGTCTTACGAAATTAATGTAATATTAATGTAGGTAAGGGAAAAGAGCCGTTTTATCTCGAGATTGCCACCGACATGTCAGTAGAATTATGACAGACGATCCTTGTTCCAGACGCCTGGGATGTTATATTTCGGAACTTCTATGCATCCTAATTCGTACCCGACCACTAGCGAGAAACAACGGTTCGCAAGACATCTGGCTGTTACCGCAGGAACCCCAGACATTTTAACACCGAGAACTCAACAAACCTAACAGTACCACTGATTAATAATTCTTAATTTTTTTCTTGGAAAACTTAAATTTGGAAAAAAGGAAAAAATGCTTTATTCAAAGTATGCACCGCCAGCTATTTCCCTGCCCTTCAAATTGAGCCCTCCCAAAAAATTGTTCACATTTTGAGATAAACCAGTCATCGAGGCATTTTTCGACATCTTAACTGTTGAGGTGTTCCTGGAGTGTGTGAGTCATTGATGACAAGTGGTAGTTCGAAAAGGCCAAATCTGGTGAGGCAAGAGCCAACCAAGTGCAGAAATTATGCTTTTAACCGTTTACGCTGTGTGTGTTGCAAAATCACTTTCCGTGACTTCTAGCCCAATCTGGATGCTTTTCGATCAATGCATGGTTCAAACTGATTATTTGATAACGATAGCGATCGGTATTAACTGCTTTCGCGTGGTTTCAGCTCATGATAACACCTGATCCCACCAAATAGCATTGTCTTCCTTCCGAAGTGATATTTGCGGTCGATATTGATGGTTGTGTCAACCCATGACTTTCTCTGTTTTCCCAGAATAAAACCCAAACATGCGTATATCGTTAGAACATAGTCGTACGTTTCCACAAGAATACGACGGCTTGCACTCGACTTTTTCTTTCGATTGGGAAAAGCAGAACGTGCCGCAACTACTGTTTATTTGGTTTAAATCTGGACATGTTTATCACAAAAATAAAATACGCTAACTCGAAAACGTATGAACGGCATTTTGAAAGGCATAGCAACAAAATAACATACGTCTTTGCGTTTAGTGCAAATCAGCGTAGGAATTAACAATTTTTAATCGATTCACCTAGTACAAATGTTACATTTTTATTTGATTAATTTAACCAGTCCTCGATGACTATCCATTTTTAATATTACTCAACCTTAACAAGTTTCCATTAGTCAGTTTAATTTTTAATTAAAATTAACAGATAGTATGTTTCAAGACACTATGAAAAATAATTTCAATTTGACATACTGAAATTGAATCTATTAAATGTATGAAAAACTTGACATATAATCGGCGCACTTTGTACGCATGAAATCAGAGCGCACTTTGAGGGAAAAGATCTACGAAGCATACTCTGTACAATTACAGCTTGCGAAACTAAAAATACATCAGGTTTCAAGGAAACACGTAGCCAGTGCTATTAACCCTTTACCCTCTTTCAGAAGTTTCACAAACCGTTCACGTAACGTTAATTACGTAAGAAACATTTCCATTGCTGGCCATGTTCCGTCGATAGCTTTCTACGTAATTGGAAAGCGTGCTTTGGAATGGAAAAACTTAATACAAGTAAATTTCAGAAATAACCGACGTCGAATGTTCGCGTAAGATTTACAGGAGAAAATTTTAAATATGAAACCCTTCGCGCCACTTGTTAAGCATCGAATGAAATCTGAAAGTAATTTCGTTCTGAACTATTCAATTTTAATTATGTAGCTTTTGAGAAATGTTTTGTGTTGTCTTTATATGTGGATAACGCTGTTTAACGAACAACCAATCGCATGCTTCTATCATAACTCGTTCGTTCATTTGTTGGGTGATAAGGTGCGCGCGCAATGGTATTGGTACAGCAATGGTCACTGAGAACTGTACACGCTATTCTTTTTATTAAAAACTGAGCTATAAAAACTTAAATGTTACGATACAATTTTTATAATAAAATTACAATATAATTTTCTAATTGTGTCATTGCTTATTTCTATATAAGAAGAGGAACAAAATTTTGTCGAATGTCTGATAAGTCGTTAATTCCAATAGCACTCATACATTTTATTCATCTGCAAACTATAACAAAGCTCATACCTTTAAAAGGAAGCAGTTCCGATAAAAATAAAATAAATAATCCTAACCAGACAAGAGTTACAAATGATTAAAATTGACAAAAATTTCGTTTTGTACCAGAACTTTGTAAAGAAAATATTTGTTCTTTCAAACAATTGCAATTTTGTCAGAATAACTAAAACCATCTAGTGAATCTGGTTCACAAAAAAGTTTCCAATCTGAAACAAATTATGAGGGTTAAAAGGACTTACTTTTTTACCCGATTGTCTGGAGTTGCCATTATGCATGCAGATTTTGAAATCGACCATTTGAAGTGTTAAATTAGGTCGGTAACCCGGTAGCTTGTTTCCATTATTTTCTCCATCGGTATATAAAACGAGCTAGTTTGAATTACAACTAATCAGGTCAAACGCTGAAAATAATACGATGTTTCATGTTAACGAGCAAAATGAACTAAGGGAAGATGATGAGAAAGTCAAGAATTTTAGGACACGAAATACAGGGGGAATCAGATTTGCGTGCTTCCGTGAGATTATTTTCGTAAGAATGGCTAGAAATCGCCAGAGTGCCGACGTCGACGTCGACGTT